CAATGTTAAGTTATTTGGGCTATTACCATTTTGTTCTGTTTTTTGGTCTTGTAACTGCCCGTTATCGAAGGTATTTGCAGATCACTCAAGAGCTGATTGAAGCCGGTGCAGGTGGTCGCCTGAGACTGATCGGAAGAGCAGGCACTGGCGTGGACAACATCGATGTTGAGGCCGCGTCGCAAAATAAAGTGCTCGTCATGAACACACCTCGTCAGTTTAAGTCGTTCTAAAGGGGGACCACTATAAGGGCAAGCGTCAAAGAAGGGGGAATTTGTAGGGATAGGGATACAGCATAGCCTTTCCCTCAGCACTGTTGGTGTGCTATTGCCCGGCGCGTCCCCTCTCGCTTTCTAAAGCTTTAGCCAAGAGAGCGTTGGCGTTGAAGAGGGCAGCACCGACGAGAGTCGAATCAATGCAGAAACCAACGAGCAACGACAAGGTCCCATTTCTCGAGTTTAAGGCCGTAATTCTAGGTTTTCTTTCTCTCTTTCGTGCATCACTGACTACTATGACTCAGTTCTCAACGAGCTGCAGTTTTATCGTAAAATGTAATTAACCTTACCCAAATGTAATTTGGAGGGGGGGTCACCTTGGTGCAAAGATATTCAAAGCATGACAAAAATTTCCATTTTCATAGCCGCCCAGACCCGTTTTGTTCGAACAACCTGGTTCAGCCACTCCGGGACTTCCTCTTTTGCGAAAATGAGCATATTATAGGTCATAATTATAGCCATAACTTGGCAACAAGGGGAAGCAATGTGGCAAGTCTTGATCTCTACATGGTTTGACAAAACTTTCAGAGGCGAACTCCCGATCTGCAGCTGAACTCACGTGCATTTTGATACTCAGTCTCACTCGACATGTTCCTCAAGCTGCTGCTTCCATGAAGGCCGGAAAATGGGCCAGAAAAGACTTTATGGGAGAAGAGGTTTGCGGCGAATTCGTTCTTTTCAACTGATTTATCTAAATTCGAAGATATGCACTTTTGAGAATTATCAGCCCTCAGAACTCTATAAGAATTGTGCACACATATGTAGGAAGTGGAGGCTTATTTGTAAAAAAAACAGGCAGTTATTCCCTGTAAAGTAGACAGGGTTGTTAAAGTAGCAATTCTCATAAACGTTAAAATGAAATATTGCCAGCTGAATGTGCTTGGGGCTCTATACCAAGAAGAAGAATAACATTATCGATTATTACAAGATTAACACTTTGACGACAGCGCGGGACACATACGTCCCGCACTCTCACACGGAAGAGACTTGTTTTTCCTAAATTGTGCCTCCATTTTCATGCTTCAAGACTGGCCCTTCCTACTGTTGGATACGAAAAATAGTTCTCTCGTTACCACTAATGAAATTATTGGTAATGTAGTAACTGTTAATGCAAATTTGTAAAGTAAGGTGGGTAGGTTTGCGCACAAGGGCGTGTCGTCAACGTGACATTTTTGCATTTTGTGTAAGTTTAAAGGAACAATCCCCTGTACCGAGGCTATCACGAGACCTGTTTCAAAGAAAATTAAAGAAGGTTCACGGAAAATTCTTGCATTCTTGCTCAACATGATGGCATCAGATATGACCCCTAAGGACAATGTACAAAGTTTCATGTAAGAGATCATTTCCCACGGGAAACAAGCCTACGAAAACCACACGCAGGGGACGGTCGCAGGCATGTCGGGCGGAGTCAAGGGAACGCATGGAAAGAAGTGCGCCTTGGAACACCCACTATCAGGCCATGCATTGAAAGAATCGGTTTAAAAGCTCGAATTGGAGAATGGAGACAAAACGATCGATAGAATAAGATGCAGCAGAAAGGCGAAATGTTACTGCCTTAGGTGGAAAATGCCTCTTCCCAGTGAAGGCGTTGAAAGAACCAAGTGGAATCGTTCCTGTCGTCAACATTTGTAACAGATGTATAGCGGGAAATTGCACGCGTAATCGTCCAGGTTTCCGAATTTTTTTCTCTTTTCGCTTATGTCGTGGATAGGGCGGAAGTGGTGTAGTGGCAAGTGGCACGCTTACCACGCGAGCGGTCCGGGGATCAAATCCTGGGTCGTGAGTCGCCCGGGCCAACCAAGCCTTCCATCCCTCCGGGGTCGGTTAATTGGTACCAGACTTGTCTGGGAGGATAAAAACACTGACTTGTACATCGGCTGGCCCCCGCAAGTCATTGTATAGGCCACATCGCATTCAAACGCCACTACGAATGTACAAATGGAAGTAGAATGCGTGCCGCATCCCAAAAGGGATTGATCAACGGCAAATGCTTTATCCTTTATCCTTTTATGTATGCTAACGAAGTTGGGGGGCTCTGTTCGTCTGCTCCTCTAAGGCTTAGTCCAAGGGGCAGTTACTATTTCGTCGCCACGTGGCAGTTTCGAAATACGCGCCATCGGCGGACTAAGCCTTGGAGGAGCAGACGAACAGAGCGCCATGAAGGTGGGTGAAGCAGGGTGAAAATCGTGTCGAGTACGTGGTCGCAGAAGTACGACCCCCCCCGAAATCGAGATCCTGGCACGACCCCCTAAAACAGAGCAAATTAATTCAATTAATTAATCAAAAAAATCCTGCAAAATAATGTTATGGACGCCTCATCTTGTCATCTATGCACTGTCTTTCATCGCTGCACACTTTTGTGTATTTACTGAAATATCGACTCGAGGAAAGAGGCATTAACTTTGTGTGACC